ACAATAATTTAGTAAATGCATTTGGTTACTAAGAGGAAATATCACTGAAAAGCAGAGAAAAATGTATCTGTCAGAGACAAGCATTCAGGAAAAGGTTAATGATGAGTTTCCACTCCTCTTCCAAAATCATCTTTTTTTTTTCTTGGTCTGTCTCTGCCACCCGAAGTCAGGCAATTGCTAAGTGCTGACACACAAATTGTACACAAAACGAACCAATTAGTAACCACATAAATGGTTGAAAATTAGTCCACAGATGGGAGAACAGGCCAAATACCGACCTTGTCAAAGAATGAAAACTCTTGCAGTGTTCCATATTTTCCCACTGTTGCTACTGACAGATCTTTGGTACCTCGCAGTTTCATTTTCTTCTGTTAAAAGAACAAACAGTTTTACTTAACACGCTGTCACTCAAATACTATCAAATTCCACTTTGTGGACATGTAACAACTCTGAGCAAAGGCTGAAACTCAGTATTTCCCAAAGAGTGGTCTAGCATTGCTATGTCAAGTCCTCCAGAGCAATCTCTATCAAATGACTCCCTAAGCAAAGAAGAAAACACACACAAAATGGATCGCTTCAGGAAGAATTCCAAAGAACAATTCCCTTGTAAGAACAATGAATTGGCCCTTTCCAGGGCCAATACTTTGTACGTAAGGTCTTGATATTTAGTATTTAACATGGTACCGCATACATTAGAACATACTTTAAACAACCTCTTTTGCTGCAGAAGATTAGTATTTTTAAAAGAGCTTTGAATATTTTCTCGTATCTAACACCTACGTACCTCAAAGACACCACTCATTACAACTTTATCTAAGGAATTATATAAACACAATGAGTAATACCAGGTTACTCTAAGTTTCACTTGCAAAAGATACCTTTGCTGGGCCAGAAACAGGACGCAATAGCAGTGGTCTGGATCGTTTTTTGCTGTGTTCAAGATTCTTTTCATGCTCAGTTTTCTGGACACTGTTCACTTCACATGGTCCATTTCCTGTGAACTGAAGAAAATAAATAATCATTCTGATGCTCTCTCCTCAGTCCGTGCAAATAAAGAATCTGGCTTATCCGAACAGAGAGCATGTAGTTCAGTGACCTGCTTTGTGAAATTCCAGACAGCGAAGAGAAGCAAATTTCATCTACTGGCTGTATGTTTTTCCATAATATATTCCACATACAAACAGGCAATGTTCAATAATCTGTCTTGTTCCAAGCATACACATACCAAAGACCTCTTAGCCTCCGGAAGAAACTGTCCAAACTCAGAGAGCAGATCCTCCTGTCCCCTGAACAGATTTGCTACTTCAGTAAACACTTCTTCCTCTGACATGCCTCGAAAGGGTCGACCTTTAGTGTTCAGCTGTTCTTTCTGCAAAAGTATGCACAGATGTTAGATGCAAAAACATATAATGCAAGAAAAACTGACAACTCCACAACAGTCAAAAGCCCTAGGCAACACAAACTTGATTTAACCAGCAGACAGCCCAGGGTTCTTACAGCGCATTCTATTACAGAGGATATCACTACATCAACTGAAGGTTAGCGAAGGCAGATGCAGATACAACTCCTTCACACCTCAGACCCCACAAAGTTCTACAGTTTTCACACTTCTATCATTTCCTCAAGTAAATATCTATGAGGCAGTCATTGGACAAAAGCTTGGGAACCGTTCAACAGGCTGACGTTTCATTCGACAATAACTATTCAACCAGCCACACTGCACACCCGCAATATCTTAACGCAGAAAGCTTTTTACCTGGTAAGTATGAAGAATTTCTAAAAAGGATCTGTAAATTTCTGGGTGGTCAAGGAAGCGTGTTTTGATCTTATTCACGTAACTAATAGCATTATTGAACTCTACAGAATCAGACTCCAAAGGAATCTGGGATTTATCTTCTTTGTATGGAAGCTGTTGCCTGAACTCCTCGGAACAGTCACTGTGGTTGTGCGAATTCTCCTGCGAGTAATGCAACAGCAGCCCACTGCCAGGGACAGCGCTGGGAACAGGCTCTGAGGGCACCTAGTGGTGTAAAACACACAAGACAGTGACTCGTACAGCCACACAGGTGCAAGTTCAACTACAACCTAGCATCAGTATTTTCAATGTTTAACTAGAAAAGATTGCGACATGAAGAAATAAGGAAAAAATATTTGATTAGCCAATGAATTTCCTTACCCACGTTATTAATGCCATGAGTTAAACAAATCCCGTAAGCTGTATCAGGCTTACAAACCATCTGACTCACTGCTGCTTTTTGACTGTCACTGCATTACCCACTACCCTTGAGAGGGTGTACCAAATCATGCATGCTGCAGATTCTGGTACCACTGTTCTACTCCACAGGAACTGTCAGTTTTAAGAAACATTAAAATGTAAAGCTCAGAGACGCTAAATTTATAAGCCACAGAGAGATCTATGGAAACTAAGACCTAAAAGATATTTACTGCTACTAATTAGAGTTAAACCACAAGTTTATCAGTCGAATTCAAATGGTAGCTCCATTTCAGCCTCCACAACCACACAACACGAACAAAAAAGCAGCAGAAGCCAATACATATCCACCTACGTTACAGCAGAAGCCTTTCATTGCAGGATGGTACCAATTGCATGGCAACACTTGACACACATTTTTTTGCCTACCGCCTAAACATATTCCTCGGTTTCTCATTGGAAGTATGACTCTTCCAGATCTTTTTTTTAAATTCGTCACTACACACCACACATTGAGAGTCTATAAAAACAGCTCAAGCCAATTACAATTTCAGTTTTCAAACCTGCCTGAAGTATTTTAAGTTGCACTGGCACTTTGTGCAGGAATAGCGTTCTAGTGCAAGCTAAACTAACGACTGCTTTGAGAAGAAACATTCAAATTTATGTTGTACCCATTACCATACTTTGAAAACCATGTAAAGACTTTAGCAATGTGTAATACTTGCAAATCTACAAAGCCTAAACTGTGTGAGGGATGTATATAGTGATACATATAACAGGATTTGCTTAGAATAATGAGCTCCGTAACCTACCTGACTAGCCAACGGTGACTGTATGCTTAACTTCCCGTTCTTTGGAATTTCTATTCTGTATCCCAGCGGGAGGAAAGCATTGAATCCTACAATGAGGTCAGGATGCTCATGGAACAGCTGCGAAACACGTCGGATTACGCCAGGTGTGTCAATGCTAAAATTGAGAACAGTTTGTTACTTGTGTCTAAATCAGAAATCTGAGTCAAGCCTAGAAAATTACAGAGGTACATCAAGCAGCTGGCTTCTCACAGATGCGGTTTTTAACAAACTTTGGGAACTTTAGACCTGGAAATTAACCCAAGCAGAGGGAACAACCACCATCCACTGCAGCCTCACCCTGGGAGCGTTGTCCACAGAGATAGATGTGAGTGTGCAGGTTACATAAATCGGGCAAGGCAGCCATCACCTGGAAGGCTGATAGGTCACAGCTCTCTGCTTAGGAGTTTTATTTTCCAGACTTGTGTTTCAGAGTGGGAAGTAAAACCACATTTTTCTTTTTCTGGTGATTTCTGCTCTGGAAAACAATGAAGCAGAGGACACCAGGGTGGACAGACACCCTTCTCCGCTGTCTAGCAGCTGTGCTACAGGGGAACAGGGCCAGCAGGGTGGCCTGTGTGTCTGAGGAGATGGTAAAGGTTGGTTGGACGTGGTGCTTAGGGACATGGTTTAGTGGGTGATGTGAGTAGCAGGAGGATGGTTGGACCAGCTGATCCTGAAGGTCTCTTCCGACCTTAAAGATCCTAGGGCTCTAAAATGGTGGGAAGGCTGGGGAACCCTGCAAAGGCCCCCGTAAAGCCCGAGAAGCTCCACGGGGCAGCCCCGGGGTGCGGGGCCTGGCCTTTACCTCTGACTTTTGAATTCTTTCATGATCTCCAGGAAGCCGTTGTAGGTGGCGGGGTCGCTGCCGAAGCGGATCTTCACCTGGTCAAGGTAGGAGAGCGCGTCCTCCACCTGCAGGGAGGGAACGAGGCTGAGGCCCTGGGCAAAGGGGGGGGGGAACACACAAACCCTGGGGCACCCCAGGGCACCGGGGAGGGGGGAAACAGCCCCGGGAGGACCCCCACAGCCCCGGGAGGATCCCCACAGCCCTGAGGGGGGGGCACACGGTACCAGAGGGGACGGCAGCCCCACGGGATGGGGAGGGTGGGCTGCAGGGTACCGGTGGGGGGCACGACACAGCCCCGGGAGCAGGGGGATGGGGGGGGCACGGTCCCGAGGGAGGACAGGGCTCGGGGGGGTGGGGGGTGGACGGGGCCACGGTACCGAGGCCGGGAGAAGAGGGGCGGGGGGGGGGGGGCACGGCACCGGAGGAGTGGGGCAGGGGCTCCTCAAGGCAACGGGAGCGGTGAGGGGGGGGCACCGGGGCTCGGGAGCGGGGCAGGCCCCAGGGGCGGGCCGGGCGGAGGTGGGGGGGGGGGGGAGTCGAGGACACCATCCCGGGATCGCCCCCGCACTCACATGCACCGGCAGCTTCTCCTGCGCCACCGCCCGGCCGCCGCCGCCGCCCCACCGCGGGGCGCTGCCCCCCCGGCCACCACCGCCGCCGCCCCCCGCCGCCATGTTGGGATCGGGGCCGCCGCCGCCACCGCCGTGCGCCCCCCTCCTCACTCCCCCTCCGTCCCTCCCTCCCGTCAGAGCGCGCCGAGCGCCTGCGTCACCGCGCACGGCCCGGCCCGGCCCGGCCCGCGGCGGAACCTTCGCGGCCGCCGTTGGCGGCGGCGGCGGCGCCGCTGCTGCTCGGGAGCGCGCGCGCGTGCGTGCGCGGGTCGGGGTGCGCGTGCGCGCTGCGTCCGCCCGCTCTGAGGGGCTGTGAGGGGATCTGAGGGGCTCTGAGGGGTTGGGGGGGTGGCGGTGGCGGTGTCCGTTGGCGGCCCCCACTCGGCTCTTCACATTAAAAGGGGGGTTGGGGGACACGGACACGATACGGTTGACGCTCAGTGGCTGGTTTAGGCGATTTTTCATTTTTCGTGGAGTCAAAGTTGGAAAAGATCTCCAAGAGCGTCCAGTCCAGCCATGGTGGAGTCATAGAACGGCTCAGGTTGAAAGGGGACTCAAAGATAACCCAGCTCCAAGCCCCCTGCTGTAGGGCAGGGACGCCACACACCACATCAGGGCCCCGTCCAACCTGGCCTTGAACACCTCCAGGGATGGGGCATCCACAGCTGCCCCCCTCACACCAATATCACCCCTTCCCACTGCTGTCAGCCCCTAAACCATGTCCCTAACACCATTTCCAACCTCTTCCCTCAAAATCTCCAGGGACAGTGACCGCACCACCTCCCTGGGCAACCCCTTCTAATGCCTGCCTAAAAGATCTCCCACAGAGGCTGCATGTGTAGTTTTTCATCAGGCAGTTAAACACAAATATCTGTTTTGATTTATTTTCCCTATTTTACAATGCACAGAAGGAATATCTCTAAGGATTTTTTGCTTATTTACTTTTCCTAGGTCGTCATTACGATACTTTTGTGCCAGGGCATTGATGCTCTGAGGTAGTCACAACAAGGGAGTTTTCAGCGATATTTAATGCTGTAGTTCTGAGACCTAAAGCGAAAGGATACAAAAAGAAAGCCACAGGCTCAGTCCTGGCTGTTTGTGCTGTTTAACCTTGCTTGTCTTTGGTTTTATACCACAGAACAGATCTGAGAGAGCTTGTTGGTATGAGTCTGGATCTCAGAAGAATTTCCTTGACTGTGCTGGTGCTTGCTTGAGTTTTTCCCATCTTTCTTTCGGGATTCTACTGTACACACTGAGGTGATTGGAATGTGTTATACTGAGAAGTGGTTGTAGGACAGTGAAACTTCTCACGGATAATATAACAGAGCTTTGTTGTTGCAACAAAGCCATCTGCAGTTGGCACAATTCTGGTAGCTGTTGTGTGTATGCACTGTACCGCCAGTAAGGCACCTGCAGAAACTAAATTCAGAATAAGGAACCCTAAACCCTAACCCTAACCAAACCTTAACCCTAACCCCTAAGCCTAACCCTAATGCTAACCCTAACCCTAACCCTAACCCTAACCCTAACCCTAACCCTAACCCTAACCCTAACCCTAAACCCCAAAATTGCCCCCAACAGAAGCCTTTGGGTACAACTGAACTCCCCAGGGGAGCCTTTACATAACCCCACATGCAACCGGACTCTGTGCCTTCGCTCTTTCTGAACAACCCTAAACGGAACCATAACCAGAACACTGAGTAGTAGGACCTGATTTAAAATACGTCTGCCCCAAATAGTCCCTTGTCACCAGGCAGTTCGCATTCAGTAAAACTGGACCTCTGATGTTACCTGAGGAGAGAGGAAGAGAGTGGGCAAAATAAGCCATGCTGCCTGTTTCTCCTTAGAACATTATAGGTGGTTTGCATAACAGAAACGTGCAGAGGCTTTTACTTGCTTTGCCATAAAACTCGCTGCTATTTGAGCCCATAATATTTTTCTTTATTGTATGCTGCAGTACTCAAACTGTAACTTTGTTATTGCAGCTTCCATCACAATGCTAACATCCAGCTGCTGGCTTCAGTGTTCCAGCCTCTCATTCTGGAATACATTTCCTATTGTTTTGAGACAAGGGAAGGAAGGCGGACAGGTTCTAATGACTCAGTTACTCACCACTTGCAACATCCCAGGCTGTAATGGTCTGATCCAGTGACCCGGTGTACAAGTACTTGTCATCTTTTGAAAAGCAAGCACAGCGAATGCCTTTCAGGAGAGATGCAGGTTGAAAATGGACAATGGTTAGGATTAGATTGCTAAACTGGTACATACAGGTTGAGGTGAAGATGCCTTAGAGTGCCCGGTGGTTATTCAGTACCTTCAGAATAGTGGTAAATTGTAACTAAATAAAGATTTTTGTGAGAGTGATCATGGTAGGAGAGTGGGAAATACCATGAAATAAGGTCCTTGGCTTGTGAAGTGCTCTGTAACAGAGCCTGGTGAGGCTGTACAGAAGCCTATTATTTCATCTGGGGAAAGGAGTAGTTCAGGTGCATCTGTCATATATTGTCAGGTGAAAGACTGACAGCTTTGATCCAGCCTTCTCCATCACTTTTTTTTTTTTTTTTTACTGGATTTCCCTGTGCTGACCCAATTTACCCCTTCTGTTGCTATTGTTAACTTGTGATGCCTCATTCTCCTCACTGACTTGTCAGCTAGCTTATGCCAGCTAAATGAGCAATAATGAGCTGTAGATAAATAACTCCTATGACTTATGTTTTAGTTTCGCAGGGGTGTTTACAGCACACTCCTTCAGTCAGACAGGATTGACACCTTGATGGTGTATCTAGATGCTCAGACCTAAATGCTGAGAATAGCTTGCTGCCTGTCGGTGTGAACGGCTATGTGCAGGATTTGGGTATCCTGTCTGAGAGCTGGGAATCCGGTCGGTTGGATCCCCCTGATAGCTTAGGGCAGTAATTGACTTTTGGCACTGCTTTACCTCCCTGCCGGTGTAGTACCTTATAATAGCACATCTCGTGTTCCTGCTGACAGGACTCCAAGTCCCAGAGACACTGCAGCGAATCCTCAGCTCCACTGAGTGCCCAGTGCTCTCCATGACTGCTTTCCAAGCAGGAGATCTGGCTTCTGTGACCTTCCAAAGGAAACACCTGGGACTGTGGGCAGTCATAAAGGAATAAATCCCCAGTAGTCATGCCATAGAGGACTCTGTAATCTGCAAGGACAGCCACTCTGGAAACCAGAGCACGAGGGATATGAGTATAAAAGGTGTAGGTGGGCCTGTGGATTGCTGGACATGGATCTGCAGGGATAATATCCAGCACAAGGAATAAATCATCGTATGCTATGGCAAGCTGCTTTTCATGCGTGTTGATTGCCATATGGTTGACTGGTTTCTGTGACTCTGGAGGTGGGATGCATGCTACATCCTGCTTGGAGTTTGGTGGGAAAACAAGGACTGTTCCAGACATGAGTCCAGTGAAGAGGAGCTGGGTTTGCTCAGCTATTTCCAGGCATCTCACTTGAGCAGAAGTGTCCAGTGTGTCACACACTGCACCTGTAAAAGAGAAGGTAAACAGCAACACTTCTTACTCGAAATGCATGTGAATGTCTTCCCTCAGATAAGATTCAGGATGGCTCCTTTTTCTGTGAAATCACTTCCATATTATTCATTTTTTTTCCTATATCATAATAATAAGGTATTCTAGACAAAAGTTTTGAAGAGATAACAAAGCTTTCCAATCTGAACCCTATTTTCCTAAAAGCAGAAAGGAGCAGACTGTCCTTGTCATCTGCTCAGAAAGCAAACCACGCATTCACTGCCTCTGTGAGTTGTTTTTCTCTTCTACCCCGTATGCAAACTTAATTGTGTGAGATGCAGTTCACCTTCTGTGGCATCCCAGATGATGACTTCCTGTCTGTCCTCAGGTTGGGTTAAATAGACGTAGTTCCCTCTGTGGGACACTGCAGTGCAGCCTGTGTCTGTGACACGTGCCAAGATTTCCTGCTGCTGCTTGCAAACGAGGTTCCACACTCTGAAGTACATCACGCTGCAGGAATCAGAAACCAAAGTGCAGTCGTACAGGGCTAGGTATGTTACTGGTGCTCCCATGCCATCCAGCGTGTCCATCAGCAACCCTTGCTCTGATAAACTCCACACCTGGGAAAAGTTGGTGTGGGGGAGTAAGTGTCTGAGCCACTTCTTCCTAAATCCTATTAAAGAGGTGAAACAATACAGCTTAGCTAACTTGTACTGAAACAGAGGTGAAGTCAAAGAATAGCATCCAAGCTCTAACACTAGAAGGAAAAATGTTGAACAGCTACGAATACAAAATGTTTCTAAAACAAATGTATGAAGCACCAGGAGCCATTCAGACCACTTGCTTTCTTTTGCTCTGAAAGATCTTTAATTAGATCCTGCACATTTTGGACTGTACTGCCTGTTTACCTCTTTCTTTGGCAAGTGATGGTGCTCCACATGTTGTGTATTCCATCTGGCTCCTGCTCACACACGGGTAATGAGGCAGCTTTTAGGAGTTGAAATCTAATGTTTTAGAAATGAAATGCACTGGTTTGAGGCTGGCCCTTGGAAGTGGTAAAGTGCTTTTCAGTCAGTTGCAAAAATAAAAGGAGAACAGAAAGGCTTGAAGCAATAAAGATAAGGGTCAATGGTCATCCGCTTTTTGGAAGTGTGGCAATACTAGCAGCACCTTCAGAACTGCAAATCCAACCCCCAGGCAGGTTGCTCGAGGTCAGGATGAGCTCTTTATTGTGTCAGGGGTATATTTTGTGAGCTGGATTTGTAAGAAATGCTTCTGATGGGGAAGCTGCCCAGCCTGCCTTCCCACCTGGATACATGCAGCCTGAGAATACTGAGATACCTGGCATGTGGGAAAGCAGCTATTGCTAACATTCTGTGAAGAAACGGGTGCTATTAAACCTGCAGAATGGACTCATCTTCTGAAGTAACCACAAAGCAAACCCTCCCAGGAAGCTTCTCAAGCAGACTGTTTTCATCAGAAGAGATCTGCAGAGAAATAAGGCAAAAGTTAGACATGAAGCTAGGATAGCTGAACTGTTTCTCTCCTGAAGGAAAGAGGATAGATTAGCAGTGAAATTTAATTTGTCCTCATGGTGCTGGGTAGACTGTGCAGCAGGACAGAGAGCATTATACTTATCCACTTGGGAACCAGGATATGGAAATCTGAAGAGGGTGCTCTATTCTGAATGGAGAAGGAAGGCCTGTTGGTTATCTGACCTGTTGCCTGGCTCGGCGTGCTTCTGGAGAGTATATGGGAACTGTATTTCATTTCATTTCACGGTTGTGTGGTGGCAGTGTTTCTCCAGCACACCCTTCACCCTTCCAAGGGTGTTCTGCAGAACGTTACGGTTATGTTCAGTGCTTTCTGTCCAAGGAGTTCAGTATGATAAATGTGTGTGATGCAGTGATGCATCAGCAGATGCAGAGTGGTCGTGCTCTTTTTGGAGGAATATAAGCCTTATTAGAAACTGGTTTGCTTTGTCATGAAGCAAATCTGGGCCAGGGTGGGGAGCAGAACCCAAACTGGCAATAGTGGAAGTTCACAGTCCTATTGCTGGTGACTGAGAAGTGGACAGAGGGAAGAGCCAGATCACCTTCCTTTGGCAGCCTGAGGATTGAATGAAATGTGAAAATATGTCATCCAGAACAGCTTGTGGTGATAAATCCAGATATCAACACAGTCATAATCACCTGCCTCAGGCTGTGTACTGCAGAACACATCCACGCACCCGACACCTCTGCAGAGATCTGGAAGATGAGTTCTGCTGTCTCCAGGTGCCAAACATTGACCTAGGTGGCAAAAGAGAGAGATGTAGCCAGGACTGAGGTAGATTTTCTGTCTATAACCTTCATGACTGTGGCTGTAACTTCTATAGTTCTTGTTCTTTTGGTAGACTTTAAGCTAAAGAATGGCCCTACCTTTGTGTCTGAGGAAGAATATACAATCCTGTGCCTCTCATCCACATGAAGGTGATGTGAGGGCTGCTCTTCAATATGTGTAGCTTGGATAACAAACTTTACTCTGCCAGAAATCAAATTCCAGATGCACAGACTGTGATCCATGGCAGCTGAGACAGCACAGGTTCCTTTTCCAAACACTTTCACACACCTCACCTCAGCTATAAAATAAGAGGGGAGGATTAACAAACCGAGGGCTCTCGGTGCTTTCAGCAATTGGCAGAATGCTGGCAGCTAGGAGGCGATGGCCGAGTTGTCGGAGCTCTTTTTCAGACATGAAAGAAGCTCTCCAACCATAAAAAATGGAGAATGTTCACCAGAGTGCCCAGGGAGGGCGTGCAGCATCTCAATAACTTCCATATTCCAGACAAGCTTTGAGCCATCCTGGGAACCTGCCACCAGCAGCCGGCAATCAGAAGTAAGTGCCATCACTGTGATTCCTGCCGAGAGACACAAAGAGGAAAGTCTGCTTCTGAAACCGTAGACAAAAAAGAGACAATTTGAGATTGTTAATATGTTGTGCTTCCCCAACTGGAAACCCCCTATACTGCCTGAACCCCGCAGGCTGTGCCAAGAGGGAGATTAGGTTCCCTCAGACATATCTAGGTCAGTGTGTGCTTTTGTTGTCCTGGCGACAAAATGACCCACTTTCTCTATTCTCATTTGTCGAAGCAATTGCAAGTGGGAATGGTGCGTGACTGAGCACGGAGGCAAACGGACCTTTATCCTGCCTTTGTGTGAGCTCACGGGGAAAACTGTATTTCCATGGAAATATGTTCTTTCCTTGTTGCTCTATTTGTTTATGACATTACTTGGATCCCATTCATAACAGATGGATGATTAGATGTATTCTTGGGCTATAGCCATCCCCAGGACTAATCGTACCTTTGAGGAATCTGGTGAGCGTTGTGTGCAGGGGCCCAGCAGGTGGCTGGAGAAATCCACATGATGGAATGAGAACAGGATGGGAACAGGTGCTGAACCAGCTCAGACACTGCTGGCACAGCTTCCCAATTACCTCTGGGTAAGAAGGCACAAAAAAAAAAGAAGCCTGGCCAACACCTCTGTGTGTATTATACTCAGTCCTAAGAGGGCAGAGAAGAAAAGCATTTTAAAACTAGACTGTGGTGGGCTTGAGAGCTACCATAGTTGCTATCTAAAGATCACAGAAACAAAAAAGATCTCTACCTCCCTGTTCCAGTACCTCTGTTATTTATTTATTTATTTTTCCTTCCCAGGCAATTCGTTGAAATGGTGCAGAACCGTTATCTATCAAAAAATGACCAAATCAAGCGACATTTTCTCCTGGCAGATTTTTTCAAGGGGACTTGGGAGCTGGGGAATGAAGCTCTGATATTGGGACTCCGGCCAGCAGGGCTGTAAGATTGGTTTTGGGGTGAAGGAGAACTAAGGGAACAGGGCTGAGCCTGGGGACTTCTGATTAAAACTGAAGGCTGGGCTGGGGAAGAGGGAGAACCTGAAAAGGGTCAGCATCCAGTATCCATGCAGTCTGCAAATAGCCGGGACGAGCTCAGAGCTCAGACCCACCGTGTAATCCTTGAGCAGTACCCTTCTGGCTTGTCTGGAGGAGAGAGGGCATAGCTGAACCTTGTGGCTCCCCTGAGTGTGTAGGAACACACTGAGAACTGGTCTGAGGAGGAGTTGGACTCCGTGATCCTTGTGGGTCCCTTCCAATTTGGGACATCCTAGGGGGATGCTGCCTGAGTGCCTGCTGGTGCGATGTGGGTGCTCAGCACAGTGCTGCCAGCAGAGGGGTGAGCTGCAGAAGCTCAGGGATAGTGAGCTCAAGGTGCTGTGGCGCTGTGGTGAGGTGCTCCTGGCTCTGCCTCGGAGACTCTCTGTTGCCAGCCTCCGGTGGAGTGGCTCAGGGGAAAACGGGCACAACTTGCACAAATACTTAATTGCTTCTTTATTTACTCGTGGCTTTGATTATGCTCCCTGGGACTGCACATTCTCTGCATTTATTCTCTTTGTTCGGCAAAGCTCTCCTCCTCCCTTTCTAAAACCAAAACAACCTGAGGAAGTGCCCAAGCACTCCTGCAGGTGTCTCAGCCTCCTGTCCTGCTCTGCAGGGCTTCAAGTTCTGAGTGTGGGCTTGGGGCTGTCACCAAGGTGCTCCGGGGATGCTGCAGTGGGCTGCTGCTGTGTGGAGCTTTCGGTGGGTAGGAGGAGCGATCCGAGGGCTGTTAGTTTCTCTCCTTTTGGTGGGGCAGAAGCATGGAGCAGATAGCAGCTTGCAGTGTGACACCCCGCCTCTGTCCTTGCTGGTTGCTATGGCATTTTCATTTCTGGTTCTTTGCCTGGGGAATTTGTGTTCATTCCTTAGTTACTGAGAAAACCCCCTCAATATTGAGCTATTGGGCAGGAAGCAAGCTCAGAGCAAGAACTGGTATTATCCTTCTTGCCTTATGTGTATCTCTATCTTACATCTGCCACACACAATCTGTTATCTTCAGCTCTGAAGAAACCATGTTTTCAGGGCTGGACCACATGTGTGTGCCTGTCTAGGCTTCTCTTATCTTTTAGGATTTACCTCGGTTACTGACATCTCAGCCCCATCAGCTATCTGATTTGTGGAACTCCTCAGGCAAGCCTAATTTTGGGGAAAACCATCTTACCTGCCCACTTTGCAAGTTCTCAATGCAAGCAGCCTGCCCTGTAAGGCTCACTTTAGCCATAGGGATGGAGCATGCGCCGTAGTGCTGGTACTTACAATGAAGGTGGGACCAGCTGACAGTTTCTGACAGGCTTCAGTTTCCTCCTGAGAGAGTTCTGTGTTTCTGTAATAACTGTCTACAAGCTCAGAAATACCCCATCTCAAGTCTATTACCTATCTACACACACACACACACACACACACAAAAAAAAAAAAAAAAGATTCTTAGACTAGCCAGTATTAGCATAAAAACAGTGCTGTGGGAAAATTAAGTCGTTCTATTGCATTTGATTTTTAGATCAATCTGAAAACTAGTGCTATGCAACTTTAATTACTGGAACTCTACAAGAGGTGCTGAGACATTCAATATCTCTCAGTGGGGATTTCTCCTGTGAAAGACTTAGGGATCTGGATGATGGATGACCAGTTAAGAAACTTAGTTTTGCAGGACAAGGAACCTCAGGACTGTGTTATTTGTTGCAGTATTTGAAGCCTATGTTCTGTCATGGAAGATAACGATCCCCAACATTTCCATAGCTCCTTTTGTACTAGAATTAGTATAATTAGGACTAATTCAGCTATCCCTGAAGTATATCCAGTGGAATTTATACATTCCATTTGTTTTTTTTTTTTTTTTTTTTTTTTTCAAAAGGAATCTAGAAACAAAAGGATGATATCAGTCCTCAGGTCCAGGTGATTGAAGATGGTTAGCCACCTAACTTCACTGAAACCCATACAGCTCAAGCATCCAAACATACTTAAAACAAAAGATTTAAGAAACTGATACAGCAGTATTTGACTCCTAGGAAGTTTCTAAGGGAATGGAAAATCTATTAATATTTTATTTTTTCTCTCCATCCCACATATTTCGATGGCCTTTGCACAGGACAGACAGGAGAAAAGTGATTTACCTCAAACATGAAGCCATGCTTCTGACAGAAAGCCTGCGCTTCTGGATATGCTTTCTCCAGGAGGGCCTCTCTTTCTGTAGCCATGTCTGCATGGAAGGATTTGTGCAACACAACAGAAGTTAGGAGTTTGCTTTTTACTTTACTTACTTGTCATGTTAGACCTTACAGCAAAAATGCAGCCTGTGTTGCTATCATCTCATCAGGGTAGAGTTTCATGTAGATGACATTCTGGTTAAGTCTCGTAAGACTGCAGTTTCCATGTGTCTGCAGGCTCGTGCCCATGTTACTGTGTGAACACTCATATGTGCTTGCTACTCATATACCATTACAAGTGTATTTTCAAGGTTATATTCAGTCCTACTGACTTGTCACGGTGTTTCTGTTTGCTAATATGAAAACTCTGGAACTGGAAAATTTTGGATTGCATAGTGCAAAACACAATACAGCAGCACTGATTCAGAAAGAACGTATTCCTTGCAACTTATTTCTCCATCCTATTTTAAGACCTCTCAGCCCCACTGTTGGGTCATCTCAGCAGTGACAAATAGCCATAATAAAAGGCAATTCTACCCACAAGGAGTCTTTTCATAGAGTCAGGTCTGTGAAATGTTTATGGCCACTTCCCCTGCTGTGCTTTTTGCAAGAGATTATCTCTTTCTAGAAAAATCTGTGTGACACCTTTAAGTGAGGCATTCAGTGAATTAAATCAAACAACAAACTAGAAAAAAATATAAATTAAGAAGAGAAAGCAAATAGAAGGACAGGTAAGCACACACATGCACACAAGCACGAGTGCTCACTTCCAGGCTCACATGCATGCGCCTTCCTCTTTTCACTGTTACACAAGTCTTACATTCAAGGTTAATTTTCACGCCTGCAAAATGAAAAGACAAAGGGAACATAAAGCACATTTTTCTCCTTACATATGTGTTATCATGCAAGATTACAATTTCTTCAGAACTGGAATATTCTCTCCCTGAAGCTATGTAAACATTCTCGGCACTACGTGATCATGCGATAAAGCAGTACGAGAGGGAATGCTAAAATTAGGATGGGGAATGGCTGTGTCTGCAGCTTTCCTTGGGACTGTTCTAAGTGAAAAGTGATCACTAATGAAGTCTGTGCCAGTGTCAGATGAAGAAGAGGCTCCCTTGGGTTAGGAATTATGTTGTCTGCACTGCTGTCCAACAGGAATCAAGCTCTGTCAGCATAATACCCATAGATTAATTAATTAGCTCTCACCAAGCCTGTATTAATTATGGGAAATCCTTGTGTTGCTTTGCACTCCAGACCCCCTCAATTCCAAACTTTACAGGGAGAGAGTGAATTTAATTTATGTCCCTGTCTTTTGATGAGACTCCAATCACGTGTCACATCTTCATCCCCAAAATTCCTGAAAATCCACTAATTTCAGATTGCCTGCGGTTTTCACACGTTCCCTCCAGAAACTACAGCTGTAACAACTTGTGTAAATTCTGACTGTCTGCTCAGGCTGGAAACACCCCACTGTCCAAACAGCATATTCATCATGTTACCCTCTACTGGAGAAGATGCTGCAGTATTTTCATTCTTTGGAAGACACTTTTTGTGGAATTGGAAGCTTTTCTAAATCCATGTTTTCTTATTCAAAAAAATGAAGACAGAGTGAATGGTTTTCAGAAGAGGGGGGAAACTGAATTTTGTAATTCCTGAGAATCTGAGTCATTGCTACCCACTGCCAGTTACCACTTTAGGAGCTCAGTCTGGTAACTGTGTCCCAGCAGGCAGAGGAAGTGGGAAATATTTGGATATTGTCCAAGAAGGGAAGTTCTTCATAAATATTTCTTGCTGTTACAGTGGTGGCTGGGAATCACACGTGTGTTAGCCAAGCTTGCAGGAAAGCCTGCAAATGCTGCATTGCTCTAGGTTGAATTTGCCTTCGCTGAAAATGCTGATAGTTCCTGAACTAGTGCAGAATTCTGCCATCTCTGACATGTTCTAAGTGCAAATTGGGTGCGACAGAATAAAGCTGTAGATAAAGTGCAGCATCTTCACTTTCAAATGAAGCTACAAGCTTACGGCTTCATTTCTAAGCACAGCAGGGTCACCACGGTGCAACACTTTGCAGACTCATGCAAAGAGAGTGACTGATGCGTTTAGCAGCTTCAGGACTTTTCTGCTTATTTACCTGAAAAATCTGAGCTTCTGAAGACTTGGACCAGGCTGGAGGGCTGGAGAGGAAGAGGAACCATCTTCCCACGGAGGAGATCCCGGTGTGTATCTGGGCTGAAGCTCATGCTGCTCTCTGGACCTCCTCAGCAGAAACTGCTCTTTAAAAAGATGACTAACAGCAGTGAACACCAGTAGTAGTGCCTCTCTCCAGAAAGCTGGCTTGTTCTTTCTTTCAGGAAAGCCTGGAAAAATGTCAGCTACAAACCAGTAATGGTTGAAAATCTGCACTGAGATGCAGGGGAAGCTGCATGGCATTCGGAGAGGACAGCATCCCTATAGCAACCAGCGTCTGTCACTTGGGCAGAATCCCCAGGGCCTCTCGCTAAGGCACCAAATGTGCTCCCTACCAGGTGCTGTACACCTGAGGTTCCTTTGTTTGCTGCCCTGGACTATTCTAGAAATACTTGACTCTGCATTTTAGCATCAGGTAAACACACCACTACTAGTCTCAGTTATGGTGCAAGATTGCTTGGGCACTCTCAGCTATTTGGAGGAGGTTTCTTAATACTCATGAGCTTGCCTACTTCTGTCAAATTGTGTGAGAGGGAGTTTACTACCAGGCCTCAGTTTAAATTGTGCACAATAAATATTTGCCACCACATGACTACGTTTGGAGTAGGGTACCATGCCCAGAAGACCAGCACGTGAGAAAAGATAAAAAGCGACATTTAATAATTTATGAAAAACAGCAAGGAGGGTAGAGAAAAGAGAAGAAAGAGAAGAAAAAGACTTCCCAAGGAATACTACAGCTCACCGTAGAAATCCAGCAACAGAAGCTGTTTGGCTGTTGCTCCAAGGTGTGGGTTACATGCAAAATGTGTTGTAGACACCATCCCTGCCCCACCTGCCAGTCCCCCCCTACCAGCTTGCCCCCCGGGGGGGTGTGTGTGCTGCAGTGCTCACCCAGGTGCCATTGGCGACAGGAAACTGCAGCTGCTGGTGGAGAGCAGGTAGTGGGGGTCTCAGAAATGCAAAGTCTTTGTCCCAGTGTCCTTGGAATGCACAGGGAAGGAAGAAGGCAACTGGTAGAAACATCTCAGCATGGCCCTGACAGAATGGGTATCTCTGCCTCGTTTTCACAGAGTGCTTTTCAATGGCTTTCTTTCTTGATCGTCTGTTTCTGATACTGATAGTGCATTGCTATTTCTGTTTGTTTCTATATATGTTTATTTCTTTATTTGTTTAATATAGCTTTTCCCATAAGAAACTCTGCTTTCTCTCTGTGGGAACAGACATGTCAAGCAGATTCACTTGCTCGGAGCTACTTTCTGCTTTCCCATTTTCTCACAGGAGACCATAATCTATTGTTTCTGTGGCTTTTTGCTTTTTCCATGAAAATGAACTGAGCATGTCAGAGAAAACCAGTATCAGCCAGAGCAGCTGCTGTCTTCCTCTTGTTTCTCTCACAAAATGAGATTTAGGAGGCTGGTGTCTATCCCCGTCTGTATCCTCTCTGTATCCCTCTGGCATACAGAGGAATAATTAAAGAAAAATTAGTAATCTGTATTTATGCAATGGGCTCCTTTTGCACACAATACTTGGCTAGATGACTATGAAGATTAATCAAGTAAGAAGAGATTAACCGACATCCTAATCTATCATAAATCAAACAGGGAGGGAGATGAAGCCTCTTACCCCAAGAAACTAAAATTACAAAGGGCCTACATTGGGGCTTAGCCTACATTAGTTGAATCTAATCTAAGACAACATTAGGGCTCTAACATCGTGCATTTTTTGATTGTTCTTCAAGCCACTGTGATCAAAAATGGCAGTGTAACAGAGGAAAGTGTCAGCTTCATTGAGGCTGCCGAAAGTATACCATGCTGGACAGGAGGAATTGCAGGACAGCAGAAACAGTCTGGAGGGTGAGGACAATTAGAGGCATCCAGGCAAACCAAAACATGGAAGATATCAATGAGAAGAGAGGTAATAACCCCTTTTGTTCAAAAACAGAATGCTTGAGCCTTGGGATGCATCTCAGCAACACTCTGGGATGTGCTGTATGCATCTCACGCTGCAGATACCTGTCACTAGTACTGATGACGCCAATTCTTGTCACCAACAAATCCACTGATTCAAGCAGTTGGTTACAGTTGGACCTAAAGACCCCAGCTAGCAGATCTTTTTTTTTTTTTTTTGCAAAGTCAAGATCTGCCAGCACTATGGAGAAGGGTTGAGGACTGAGATAATTGGAAAAGAAGCAGCTTGCTTTTTGCAGGAATGCAGCACATTACTTTCTGGTGAGCAGGGTGTTTCTGTAATTAGCAAATCAAAACCAAACAAAGTCAACCAACCAAATCTTTTCCAGGGCCATTCTGGATTTCCTCAGGCTATAAAAATGTTTAAGCCTCTAAACATATCAGACCTGTTTTCCTGCATTCCACATCTACAGCTTACTTGTACCCTAAAGGTAAGATGAAATCACTATCTCATACTGATTCTTCCTAAAAGATTACATTTGCAAGCTCTCTAAAGAATTTCTTCCCTAAATTCTCTTCTGGAGCATAAAGGAAACAGATAAGCATTGGGATAGAAGATAGCATAAATGGTACTTTTTCAGGGAAAATGTGTGAAAAATGCAAATGCTAGTGCAAGTGTAAAAGAGAGGCCAGACTCAAAGATGTTGATGAATGTTGCTCTTCGCACTGTCACAGCGATACACTTCCCTTCTTTGTCACAAATGTCATCACAGAGGTGAAGTGAGGAGCAACTGTGAGTCAGTGGCAGCGTGGGCTCTGCCATGGCAGGGAACTTGTTTTCTCACCGTCTGTCTGTTCTGTGAGCCGTCATCCCCCACAGCTCGCTCAGAGACTGCTGCCTTTACAGACCACATGAGGACAGGATTAAATTCTTAGCTGGGAGGTAATTTTGAGGGTGTTTATCCAGCGAGGACCATGCTATTGGTATCTGATGAAACCCAAGCCCCTTTAATTGGCCTTTCCT